TCTTCCATCCTATCACGCCTTTCTGATTGTCAACGAAGCCATCGGGAAGTCTAGCGAAGCGTGTGTTGCCGAAATACCGACCAGTAATATTACTATTACCGCGTATGGCATATGGGAGCAAGAGCGACTTGCCAGAATTGTTGTCTTGAACACGCAGGTCCATCTCGGGGGACAAGAGAAGCCGAGCATCAGCGTCAATCTAAAGGGCCTTGGATCAGGTCTATCAACTACGGTGAAGATGCTGCTCTCGGAAAATACGACTGCTAATGCTGGATTGTAAGTGGACTTCGCATCTTGTAATTGTTTTACAAGCTTACTGAACGTCGTGAGCAGGACGTGGGCGGGACAGAGTTTTGAGACTGTGTCTGGGGAGCCCGAGGGCGATGTAAGGGAAGACGAAGTCCTGAACGACAGTTTCAGCTTGCCGGCGTCTTCAATTGCTCTCTTAACGATCCGATGAGTCGACATTTCTTTTTTGAATCATATTTACCTCTACATACTCTGAGAGGTGGATTATGGTCATAATTTTACGTATTCGACTTTCTGTCTGAGAGATACCACAAAGGTTGTTTAGAGAAGAGCCCCTGGTCACTTCATCTTCCTTCGCCACGCACTGCTGGAACTTTAAAGCACCCTCAAGCCAACTTCCAGGACTTCTATTACCTACCTAGTCTGCCTCAATCTATCGTCTTGATGAGACAATCCATGACTGTGCAATATCATAACTGTGCAATATCGAGATCCAAGCACGCACTCATGATTGCAAATTGAAACCAACAAAATTCCTCCCAATACCCTTGGATTTCATCACCTACTTATAGAGTAGTATCGTCATCAAAAAAAGAGTCAGTGTCGTCAAGGCGTCTAACACGAAATGAAGGGACATCAAGCCACTGGTTAAACTGCCGAAAAACTCGATGTGTCTCCAATCGAGCCACCGAGACGCCCAATACTATGTCAAAATCATGAGAGGGCTTGGCGGGATCGAGTTGATGGCCAATGTACTTTGTCTGGGGCTGCTTGACAGCTTCTGGCAGTGCCTCGGGCCAAGCTTCGAAATGCTCCAAACAACAAAGACTATCACATGTCTCATTCTGACACTGGGGCTCTTGGGTTACTACCTTCCCACGTCGGATGCCTAGGTCGCTGAGGCGCTCTACGCGCTGGGGGCCAGAGGGCGGTGGTTGTCTGGCTGGTTGAGAAGTCCAACGCGACAACGCAGCGGTATGTGAAGCGTCGTTACATGGATGGCGAGTTGGAAAGTATGTCTCATGGATACTTCTTGTGATTTTGCCTTTGCACCAGTGAGCCAGAGTTCCATTCTTGGATCTGACTTGGAGGTGGTTCTCACAAGGCTTCATATCCGTGACATGGCGAACTATTTCACTGCAGCGGATACAGCTCTCGCGGATTTGCTTGACCTCACACATTGTATGCTCGGTGTTGTGTTGTGTTTGGGTATGGCAGACGGACTGACCTACGTGATTGTTGAGATTGCTCAGTGGATGGATCTTTAACAATGGTGACCCTTGTGTTTGGTTGTTGTTTCGGTTGCGATGAGATTGGAGGACTATGTCTCGTTTACTTGACGGATGATGCAGGCGAATTTATGTATTATACCACTTGGTTACGGGGGGAGGGTTCTATTCACGACTCAACGCCTGTTTCGAACCTACTCCTCTGTATTCACTATCAGACTGAAAGACACATTTGCACAAAGAAAACAGGATGAATTTTAGTCAGAATAAAGAATGCACAAAGAGGGGGTTTCTAAGGTCTATGATCATAACGACTTGATTAAAGCCATTGTCACAACTCAGCCACGGATGGAAGACTCGGTTGAATTGACCTTAACTTCCTACGGCGCCCATCTCGACTTTGGTCGGGCAGCCCAGGAAGTTCAGTCTGAGAAAGCCACAAGTTCTTTATCACCTTTGGAAAGATCTTCAAAATCGCGCAGTCGGCTACTCGTAAGTGGTCAGTTGGCTCTTCTTCAAGTTGGAATCTGCCTGGTGCACTGGCCCCTGTGCACGCCCGTGGTTGCGTAGGCGACGGCTCAGGTCTGAGAAGGGGAGTCAGTGAACACATAGGAACACAAATCCTGCCTCATTCCTTGGCTCGGTATCGTACACAAACACGTCCATGCTCTCAAAGCCGAATCAGAGCTCACATTGGATCACACCAACTCCCAAAATATAATGCTGATTAGGGTTTTCGGATGGCAGACGAAGTTTGTCTAATTTCGTAGTCAATGCGTCTTGCTGCCCCTTGAGGAGGGTCTTACTCCCAACATCCGATCATCGGATCGCGGGGGAGGCTAAAAACCTCGGACGGTATTGCGCGAACAGGCTTTGAAAGTCAGGAACACTTGTGCAAGCCGAACAGCAACTCATTAAGTACGGCAAGGTTTGTTACCCAGGCAATTCAGCGATCCCACACGTCATGCAGCACACAATGGATGGCTTGTGTGCCTATCCGTATCCGAGGACGAGGTTTGAGGCTCAGAAAAATGCGATCCTGTTCGACGGTGATCGCGGTCTAGACCGTCTTACTCAGGGATAATATGCCGGAGTGCCTCTGAGGTCAATTATCATATATAGGACGGCGGCGATCCCATTCTGAGCAATATCATCTGCATCTACACTTACACAATTCGCAACCAGCCTCATCTCAGGCAATCACTCGCTCAGCTGTCACCACCATTCGTTTTTCTCTTCAGCTGCTCACTTAAAGATCTCGGACTCCAATTGATTCAGGAACAGTCATGATTCTCAAGCGGAACTCGTCCCTCGCCTTGTGTGCCGCGTTGCTCGCTGGTGCAGTCGATGCCCAAGGGGCTAACTGGGGAGGTTTCAATACAATCCGCAACATTTGGACAGCTGGTGCATCTTACGACTACATCGGAAGTGGTCCTTTGTACGTGTCTCAGTTATACTTTTGGGATTTTCTCGAATAAGCTGACTGAGGGTGATGGTAGGAGCTATAGCACGACTTCAAACGGACCGAACCATATAAATTACATCGCCAATGCACGCGGTGCAAACAATGTCGTCCTCAACAAGTTTGCATACCCCGGAGCGGTAACGGACTCTCGCTATGCGGTGCCCACGCAAGTTCTTCCCGGGTTCAGTCCTATCATCAACTGGAATGATCAAATCAATGAGATCGTTACCGCTTTCACAGCGGCTCGTACGGCAGGTACTGCTTCGGCTAGGGATTCTCTCTTTATCTTCCTGGCGTCGAACACCGGCAATGATATTCTTGGTACCTACAACACCACCACTAATCAAGCCCAAACTATCAACAATTTGATCGGAGTCATCCGCACCAAGTTTGCCCAGGTAAAGAGCTACATTTGTCCGCCCCTTCGACGCACCCACTTTTCGTCATGACTTGAGAGCGCGAAAACAATTGAGCTAGAGACTGACTTTGGCCCCTCGCCCTAGATCTATGGCGCCGGAGCTCGCAACTTTGTCTTCCTCTCTGTCCTGCCGGCGGAGCTCATTCCCAGAATTCAGATATTGCCCCAGGCAGACAGAGACAAGGTCGCCGACTTCGCAAACAACTACCGTGTAGCAGTGAACAATCTCATCACAGAACTTAGAAACAACAACACGTATCGCGGGCAGATCACCATCTTTGCACCAGACTTCACCCAGGGCTTGAGGTCCATTAAGGCTGGCACGCTGACAACCGGTCCCACCGCGGGCTACCTTGATCGAAACGGCTACTGCGCAGACGCTCTGCCCATTGGCATTGTCGTGTAAGTAGTGAAGCACTCCAACACCAGGCCCGAAATATTGTTCAACATCGTTGTTTCCGAACAAAGACGCTGACTGCCTTGTAACCTTGCAGGCCTCCGAATCCTGACTACAAGTCGACCAACTGTGCCTACACTGCTCGCAAGTACCTTTTCCACGACACGATTCACATTACCTCGCCGGCTCATTGCGAGTACGCTATCAACACCCTGGCTACGCTTGGCGTCACAGCAACACCGCAACAGTTGGGTTGCCAATTCGCCTAGGGGATAGCAACGCGGCGGAGAAGGCATGTCTGCTCGAGGTAAGCTCAGATACTCTGGCTACCACGAGATAATGGAGCTTTTTGTAGTGCGAATGATGCGTTCAATGTACATATTCCAAATTGCTACGTCATCACACATAGCGTCAATTAGGTGCCAACCAAACAAGCCTATCGCTATTCATTGTCATTGGCACTCGACAATGTTCGAATAGTGATGGTGCCTTCATGTAAGGTATGCAGTCAGATGCTCCATCATGAAGACTGAGCCTGGATGTCTTTGAAATGCAGCGAAATGAAGTTACGCACACAAAACCATACACCCCAGCTCGACGCGATGCAGCTATTTGAGTGAAGAAGGGCGCGAATGATTCCGGCCATCAACTTCAATGTCAGACCATCCGACAAATTGGCTGCCCGACAACGGATGAACCGTCTCCATCCTGCCCCTTACACGATTCAAGATCGGCGGAGTTCCCAAAGCTTCGGGAATGAAGCAAACTCTAATTGCGTCTCAGACAAATTGGAAACTCATCCCACCGGCAACCACCGAGTCGCAACTTAGCATGCTGAGGCTCTTCTTCCACCTTATTCTCCGCCAGTTCCGTAACGACTAATGGCGGAAACTTCGTACAACAGCGAAACCGAGCCGGATAAAGCATCCTTCCCCTAATCACTCCACAACCCCCGTCAACAACTCTCTTTAACCCATACCAGCATGGCCATGGCCTTGTTGTACTGACCAATTGACGAAGAGAGGAGGTCTCTACCCAATATCGTAGGCCGGTGGGATACTAAACAACCAAGTACTTATTGATTCGCATGCGGCTACAAGTGTCGCATCTGTCATCTGAACTGTAGTCTGCTTGGTCCTGTGCAAATCGTCTGTCGTGAAGTTCTATTCCATTCGCTCAAGACTTTTAGTCAGTTACACTCATTCTTTAACAAGTTATTTTGCGATACTCGCTCCACTCACCATGCACTTCTCTTCCTCTTCTCTTGGCGCCCTTGTTGTGGTCGCGGCTGGTGCCGCCGATGCCGCAAAGTGCCCTATCCAGTTCGATGGCAGAATCCCAACAAACTTCACACCCGCCTCTTTCGACACCTCTGCGAGTCCCTTCAACAATGGCTTTGTTTTCGGCAAGGGTCTGAAGGCCAGTGACGTTGTCACTATTCCGACAGGCTTGTCGTCTCTGGTAAGCCACACGTCAACATGAATCTTTCTGGCAGCAGTTGACCGATCTTCCTTAGCTCGACGGCCCGGCAAACAAGCCTTTCCAAGTCAACATTGACGACAGATCCATCTTCGCGCCCACCGAGACCAATGTGCAAACGGGCTTCCGCCGCGCAGAGATGCTGCCCATGAGCAATAACGGCACCGACCCATCCACCTCCGGCATCAAGACGGTCCACTGGAGCATGATGAAGGACCCTAAGAAGCCGCTTAACTTAACCCACGAATACCAAATGGTCTTTTTGGAGAGCTCCATCTTCAGCTCGAACCAATTCGCACTCAAGTACGGCGATCTCATCGGCATTCACCCGGCGGACCCGGATGTTCTCCACCTGTTTGGCAACTCCAACACGAACCCGTCGCCGGAGCTCTTCAAGACCAAGTTCACTGAGGGCGTGTTCCACAACTTTGCCCTGACTTTGGACTTTGGCAAGAAGTGAGTGCATGATTTTGCTTCTGTGACTGTAGCCGGCTTTACTGACATTGATATCGTAGCTTGACTCAGGTGTACTATTCTCAAGGGAATGCCCCTCTTGTCGCTCAGGGCCAGCCCATCGAGAACGACATCTCGGGACAGGGACAGTTTCACTTTGGCGTTTTGAAGAAGTCGATTAACGGCACCGGTGACCTCACCAAGTCCGGTTTCCACGAGTCTGGAATCAACGAGGGCATCATTTTCGGTTCCATCTTTGAGGAAGACAGCATCGATGGCTGTGTGACCTTGTCTCTTTGATTACCCCAGGGTCTTCTTTGAGTCCCTGCCTTTACACAGATCTCCAGCCTTGGGTTTTGATAGAATATGGCTTCCAATTCACATTGGTTTCAATTAGGGGTATGCTAGACTAATTCAGCGTAGTGATGCACTCGAAGTCATTTGTCAAGTCCAAACGCCAGTGATTCCGATACTGCTCCTGTAGACACATGTCCAATTGCATCAGGCCATCTGCCAAAAACAACGTCCCATTTTCGAACCGTCAACCTCAGATCTTCCACTTGAGCTCCTCCAAAACCTCTCTTGCAGCCCTCTGACCCGCAAATACCGCGCCCTCCATGTACCCATAATGCTTCGTCGAGGTCTCCGTGCCAGCCCAATGAATAGCCCCAACCGGCTTCCGAACCCACTCCCCCAGCAGCGTCCACATCCCCGGCGCCGGCGTCGCCATCGGGCACCCGAGAGCCCACTCCTCCTCCATCATGGTGTGGAAGAAGAACTCTTCCGGGTCGAGCGCCTCCGGACCGAACGCGGATGCAAACCCAGCGAGGGCGACGGCCCGTTTCTGGTCCTTGCTGAAGCTGATGAACTCTCGCGCCTTGGTGCCGACGATGAAGCCTGTGAGCTTGGCCGGGCCCCCGGACTGCGACGTCGCGTCGTAGGTCACGCTGAGGAAGCCGGTCGGGTTCGTGCTCTCTCCCGTCAGGCCTCGTTCCCTCCAAAAGGGGGTTTTGTAGGTTGCGTAGACTTTCATGTAGGCTCCCATCGGCATGTGCTGGAGCAGTGTGGTCTTTTCTACCGGTAACCTTGGCTCGAAGTCGATCTTGAGAATATGCGGTGGCGGGATGGCGGAGATGATTCGTCGTGAGCGGTATGTTCCTCTAGACGTCCGGATGGTCGCAAGATTCTCGGTGTATGTGATGCCGCAAACTGGTTCCTCAAAGCGAATGCCTCCGTCTCCCAGGTGCTCTCTCAGCTTCTCGGCAATGGCTTGGCCTCCTCCTTGTATGAAATGTTGCTGCGCTCCATTTTCGCAGCTCAAGCCTGACGTGAGACTGACCACGCCCTTGAAAAAGAACATGGCGTGAAGCATCGAGATGCAAGACGTATTCTGCCCGATCGTTCCTTCGAACGCCAAGTTGCCCAGATCAATGGTAGCTTGTGTCCAAGCCTGCTTCTTCAACCATTCATGCACCGTCATGCGGTCAAGCTCTGCCGCGTTCGGTGTCTGCCACGGCTCTTCCATGTTGACCGTCTCACACAGTTTTTCGAATCGGCGGACGAATAGACCCGTATCCAGAACCTCCCACGGCCTCACCGGCGGAATCAGGCCCGCATATCTTCGCGCCTTGCCCCGATAAGCCAGGACAATTTTTCCCTGGCTGGGTGGCTTGAATAATGGCACATCGAACTCCTTTGCCAGAGCGTGCATGAGATCTTGCTTGTGACCGACGAAAGAGGCCCCGACATCCCAGTAGTCGCCATTGTCGAGCGGTATCGTCTTTGCGCGTCCACCAACGCGATCGCGCGCCTCGAGTAGAAGGACCTTCTTTCCAGCATCCTTCAGGAGTCGTGCAGCCGCGAGACCGGAGTATCCGGCACCGATGACCACGCAATCATATATAGGCGTGGTGTCTGGTGTATATTCCGTCGTAGATTCACCCATTATTGCGAGTTGTTGCGTTGAGCTGGGCAAAACAGTGTTTGAGAAGAACCCAAATTTCTCGATTTGTGCCAGATGGCAAGAAAGTTTGGAGCTTTTGTCCACGGAATGCGTAATTCTCGACCTTCTCAGTTCTTCGTCTGCACTCAAGTACCCGTCCGATGATTGTTTGGACCTGCTAGCGGGAAGCTCTCTAGCGCTTACAGGAGATTGGGAGGATTGTCAGCCACGCCTGGATTGGGGACCAATCACAACGCCTCGTAATCTCCCTTGGGCTCCTTTGTCTTCCTTCGTCCTGGCTTGCTTGGCTCTTCAATCTCACATGTCTGTGAGTCTGGCTTGACCTCATGTGCATAAGCCACGGGTTTTGGTTTGCTGCGCACGTGGCAGACAGGTAACCGATATTAAATTGCACTGGGAGGAACGATCGTTTGTCATGATGATCGATGCGCCTTATGATCACTAAAGTGCGTACCATTGAATCGCGGCGACGACCCTCGGAAGTTCCAAATGTGGACGAGGAGTGACGATTGGGGCAAGGCCAACTAGCCAAAGGTCTGTTCCGTCACTACAAATATAAGCTCCTGAGCCCCAAATTAGCATGTTTGCGGTTCAACAGCCGCACTGGATTCTGATGTAGACCCCGGATATCTAATCCGTATAAGCTATCTGAATGTAAAGCTTTCATTCTAGATGTCTTGCTCGTAGTATACAACAACAAGTAAGCTGTAACATTGTCGTGTATTCACATGAGAGCGAGGTGCTGAGTTTCCTGTCTCAAACCTTACTATTCACTCCTGAACACAGTTTCGAACCGCGCAGTCTTAAGCAAGAAGCCCATAACGTACTTGTTGGGCTTCATTCATGTGTCGTAGAGACATCTTTCAGCGTTCTGGTCGTGGGCGGAGCATCTCCGTTATCCTTGGCCGGCTTGATCTCCTTTTCTTTTGCAATCCATTCCTTCCAGTCATGCACCTCATTCATGTCCTTATACTGAACAGGAGGGCTTTCTTCCTTCGGCTCCTCCTCGCCTCCCGAGTCTTTACCCTTACATTGCTCAGAACCCTTGCATCCACAGATACCCTCGCAGACAGGCTCCATCATGCCCTCGGGTATCAGCTTCGAGATGAAGGGTATCTTGAACCCAACGCACTTCTTGAAGCATTCCCCATGACTCCTGTGACCCTTGTGGCCCTCATGCTCCTTTTGACCTCCATGACCTTCCGCTGAGGATGCCCGTGTTCCGTTTGTCTCTGCTAAGCTTCTAGGCGACTTTTTGGGAGGCAGATGCTTGTCGAGATGTTTCTTGCAGTGCTGCCAATTTGGCGCTTGATTGCCCTTGGTGTCTTTCCCCCCTAGATGTGCGGGATGCTTCATCTTATGATGTGATAACTTTGTTTTGTGATGGTGTTTCATAGAACAGAACGATTGTTCCCAGGGCGCGAGGTTGCCTTTCTCGCCATCTTGGCCATGGTCTCGATCGCCCCCTGTAGGCGGCGGAACGTTGGTGACGTTGAATGATGTGGGCGTCTGGACGGAGGCTGTGGCAACGGCTGTCTTCGTGGGAATGGCGATGGCTGCTGATGAGGCCAGGATGAACGCCAGACAAAGAATTGTAGCCTTCATCATGGTAAGCAATCAAGGAGTATAAATATATACAGAGAATGAGTAGGCAGAGCTTACATGAACGAGCAGCTAGGCACCGAGGGCTTTCTCTTATATCTCTTTGGACTCAATATTATTATTTACATGCTCCAGACAAAGGCTACCTTGATCCGAACCTTCTCATTAGAGGAATTTTGTGCCTGAATGTAAGCTTCATTAAAGTTTCCTGAACCATGCGCATTCGTAAGACAAGTGAAGCAAGGTCCAGTGCCTGTGTCTACACTCATCGGATCCTGCCGTATGCACATCTTTGAAATATCGGGTGAGAGGTAACGGAGTAGGTATTCAGCTCAAGTCGGCCGTTCTGGATGTCTATTAGGAGGGCTGTCAATTCAGTTGACATGGGATGTTTCAGCATTCCGTGTTCGCTGAGTCAGGACCTGCAGAGCTTCTGTGTCTTTGTAAGAAACTGGAGAATACGGCTTCTCTTCCTCGTGTCCGTAATTTACAAGCCAGTGGAAGTGCAGCGATTAAGAGACGGCTGTGGATTCCACCGTTGTTGCATTGCTGTACGTGGATTCACCTTGAACCCTCGGGTATCCAGTATGAGGACGTCTATGCTCTGGAGTCGATTTAACGACCGACGTCTCTATCGTACACCTTTATCATGATCACGAGCCGTAACAGCGAGATCCTTCAACCGCCTCATCTTGAACACACATGACTCCTAGCAACTCACTTCTCTTCCTCGCCTTCACCTTCACCTTCACCCATCTCCTCGTCACCATCTTCGCCTTCTTCGCCTTCTTCCCCGGCATCGTCATCTTCATCATCATCATCGTCGTCGTCATCATCATCGCTCGACCCAGAGCCCTCGCTTTCTCCCTCGCTGCCAGGGTCATAGTCTTCTTCGTCTTCATCTTCATCCTCCTGGAGCGCCTGCTCAGCCTCAAGATGAGCCTTCTCGAGCTCCGTCATGCCGTTTGCATCCGCGTCTCCATTGGCATCAGCGTCGGCGTTTGCGCCCTTCTTCTTCAGGTTCTCAGTCAGCTCCATCTTCGCCTTCCTTTGCTCCGCCATACTGCGGTCCTGCAGTCCGTGGCGCTTGACATAGGACTCATCGATGCCGCCGTAGTCTTCCTGGTCCAACATGCCGAACTCAATCTCCTCGGTGGCGTCACCCTCGGTGAACACCTCCACCACGATGTTGAATGTACGCTGCAGAACGCTTGTGTAGCTCATGGCCACAATGCGGTCGACGGGCAGAAATACTAGAGGCTTTTTGAAGCCGTAGAGAATGCCATTGGGAAGGAAGAAGAGGTATCCGTCTTTGGAGCCGCGGAAGGCCTTGACGTGTACCGCCTTCTCATTCGGTCTGTGCGGCTGGCGGACGAGGCTGTGGAAGATGTTGGGATCGGCTGCGACGATTTCGGCAGGATTGCCAGCGGAGCTGAGGTGTGTCGTCAACGCCCAATCAAAGAGGCCACGGTAGGTGTCGGAGACTGCTGATGCAGCGTTCGCTTTCGGGCCTTCGATGGTGCCGGGCTTGGGGGCTGTGGCAGGCACTGTGAATACCAGAGCTTCCTTCTCGGGTGAGGTTTTCGTCGGGAGGCATGTTCCACGGGGAAACAGGACGTAGTTGTGCTGCACCTGAGTCTTCTCGGGTACGGGGAGGCAGAAGAGGTACTCTGAAGCGCAAGTTAGCTTGGCTGGGATGTTAAGTTCCTGTGCGGTTGGAGACGCACCAATGTCATCCCAAGCGTAGATGATGCCCTCGACGGGTGCAGTGGTATTCGGTAACCGCGCGTAAAAGAAGTTCGCCGTGAAGCAGAGCTCGTACTTCTTGCGCTGGGGCACGGAGACGGAAATGTCCTTGATCACAAGGAGAACTTCTTCATCGGCAGCGTTTCCGGTCCCGATGCTTTTCGGTGCAGGCTTTGCAGCCACCCCGTTTGTGTTAGACGCCTTGAAACCGTTCGTAGGGGCTTCTTCTATCCGTCTGCGTTTCGATGCCGGTTCGGGTCCGTTGATCTGCTCGTGAACGAAACTCGCGATATTGTTGAACAATGCGACTCGATCGGGTGTGTCTGAGTAGTCGAGAATCAGCATTTGAGACTTCAAGAAAAGAAAACTGCGCAATTGGAACGGAGGGTAGTACTGGCTGCCTTTTGAATGCCCTGCAAGATGTCGGGTCGCGACTGGAAGACGGCTTCCAGCCGCTGGCTGTCGAGGCCGGCAACCATTTTTTGGTGAAATATTTGTTTTTGTCCCAGAAATTCGGTATCTTCTTGATGATGGGTTCGATGAAATTAACGAGATGGCGGCTGATTCGAAACGTCTGGGTAGAGGAAAGCGTCCCTTTGAATGTAGTGAAGTTTCCGGATTGTTTTCTCTGTCTCGACGCGACGTCGATAAAAAATTATGTGATGTGACGTGTTGAAGCTGGCGGCTGTTTGCTGAAGCGGCTGTTCCTGGTGCACTGCGGCACGGACTTACATAATGCGGCGGTAACAGGCCTATAGCAATTTGTACGGCGAACACTCGGGGCGGGCAGCAGCCCCTTTTCTTACGAGGGGCCACTGATTCAGTCGAGTCTTCAAGGTTCCAAGGAGACAAAAGCGATGACAATACTCGGCATTTACGGCCCTAATTGTCAATTACCTCGAGCCCTGTGGACCAAGGTACTCTGATAGTTCAGCATGGGTATGTTTGGTCATCCCAATATTTCTCCAATATCTACAATTTCCAATGTATGGTGGTCGTTTCTCATTGCCAATTCCATGCTTCCGACCACCACAACAGCAGTTGCCCAAGAACCTTACATCATTGTTGTTATTTCCAGTATCCTTACTTCGCCAGCTGGTAATAGGTGTGAGACATATTCCAGATTAGCTCGAGGGAAAAAGCAAAGCAAGTTGGTAATACTGCGTAGAGGAGCTCGTTCATAATAGCATAGGTATTTGATCATCAGAAGTTAAGTCGCAGTGAAGGGAGAAAAAAATACAGGTGCGAGGTCAGCCTTGTCTTATCTTTTTCCTTATCGCCAGCTAAGGGAGCTTGGACCCCTTGGGAGACTTGCATTCCCCTGGCTGCCCCTGAAAGATGCGACGTCACAGTGGAGGATGCGCCCAAGGCCCCAAATGCAGTGGCACTGATTTGGCGCGCATCTTGACCCCGCGGTTTCCACTCGTCTGCTGTCACCAGCCGAACAGTACATTAGGTAAGTCACTGCCGGGTGCCCCACAGCTTCCTTTCCTCGGAGGTCAGGCAACATCACGGACTTTGCACCTCCAATCTCGAGTCTTGCTAACGCCAGTTCCGCCCTTGGGGTAGGCTTTAAATACTGAGCCTTCAACAGCACCCTAATCTTCCCAAATGATCATACACTGCTGAGCGGTACCATGTCATTCTCCAATATCTACACTCACCGCAAGGTCGCGGAAACGGCGGCCAAGGGCTGCGATGTCTGCTACCGTGCCACAAGTAGCGTCCTGGTCGCTCCCGAAAATAAGGTAAAGCCCATAGTTTCTTCCCTGAAATGCGCAGCTAACTCGATCTTTAGGACTTTTTCTACGTTTGCCCCAGTCATCTGAAAGACAAGAACTTCTGCTCACCTATCATCGACAAAGAGGCCGTTGAAGCGAAGAAGAAGAAGGCTCTCGAGGACGAGGTTGCGCGTGTAAAGAAGGAGTACGAAGACAAACAAAAGAAGAAGAAGGAAAAAGAAGAGAAGGACAAGGAGAAAGAGAAAGACAAAGACAAGGAGAAAGAGAAAGACAAGGACGACAAAAAGACAGAGGACGAGGAGAAGGAAGACAGCGTCAAGGCAAGCTCTTTGATATCCCGCTTGTTGCTTCTTGAGTCTGGTTTCTTGGGATATCGGCTAACAAACTTCAAGAACGGCACCGAAACGCCATCTCCGGCCGCGGAAGAGGAGCCACGCGTATTCGCACTTCAAAAGTATGGGCTCTTTTGGCGTGCTATATGAACAAAGTTCGCTTCAGCTAACACGGCTTAGGAACTTCTTCGGAGCCCGACTTGAGAAGAAGCGACAAATGGAGATCGCAAAGAGGAACCGGGAACGTCTTCAGCAACCAAACCTATTTCCATCAGTTCCGAAAGGCATGCCGGGTAGTTGAGAGATATTCACCACCGAAGCCCGAAAGACGGGACCGCAGTACAAGCACAATCGCCGGTTCCGCAGCCATTTCATGACCGTCAGCCCACTCGGAGCACATGAGTCTCCATGCCACCACCCGGACCAGCCTGTCCTCATATACCTACTCGTCTGTATATACCCCCAAGTCAAGATGGTACCCATTACTAGGACAGGGGTTCTAAAGCAATTCCTGTCCTAATCAGTCCTGCTGCATTAGCTCTCTCTATCTGGAGTCGGCACCGGCTGTCATCTTTTCTCGTGCGGTCAACGCTTCGAGGTTGCATTCCACTAGGGGAAAAGACATCATTGTCCAAGGAACAGCTCGTCATTGGTTCATTTACGTCTCTTTGGTTGCGACTTGGTTTACCTATATGCAGGTAAGACGACTGTAGTGGCCTTGGTGGGCCGGCGAGTTGCTGGGAACCACAAGCTGCCGTGGAGGGCACTTCCGTCAGTATCCTTGGCGGCGATCATGGGCGTGTGACTATGAGACCTGGCAACTTCTCACTGGCCAAGCCAAGGATTACTCCAGAGATCCAGAGCTTCGATCTGGCGCGGAGGATCATAGCGGCTGTTTGCCGAAGGACTAGGGACTTCCGAGGGAGAAAACCTATGATGATTCGGTTTACCCCGCTAACCTCGATGCTCGAAGGATGCACAACTGGGGTCAATTGGGTAGATTTATGTTGTTTGGGCCCTTGCTGTCGGGTCGACGAAGGAAGCCGGCGATAGGATCACGCGGACGACTAAAGGCCGAAGATGCCGCCCCACGGCGATGGAACCCTCTATGTTGCCAACAGCACAATTTGATCATATATCCTCCACTGATTTCCTCTTGGCCATCTCAATGCAGTGCATACTGCGAATCTCTATACGCCCTGATTCGTTCGAGGCCCGAGGAGAGGGGGACACACGCAAAGTTTGCCCGGCAGCGTAAGCCATGACGCATGTCAGCACTAGGCCTGACAAGGCACTTGAGTGGCGTGAAGGAGACAGCTGGAGTTCCATGAAGCAGCAAGCGAGGATGGCACAGGCCGCCCCAACCTGCAGGAAATGGTGTTGATGGTGGTATCTTCCCGAGACACTACTGGGAGACTGGGAATGTATGCTGCTGAGACGTTCGTCGTGGTCCACAAGGCCAAAGAAACACCCCCAACATCCTACAGTAGACGGTAGGCGGCATGCATCTCCGTCCAAGAGAAGATTAGGGCTGACACGGACTGCTGGATCCGCGTGCTACCCGATGTCAATCGGATGGCGATCAATCGACACGCCTTGGTGAGCACTGCTGCGAAGAGTTCCTGTTTTAGAAGTCTCTCCCGAGCGTTTGGTGCATAACGTAGCTAGCGCTTAATACGTCTGCTAAATCCCTCCTACAACTTACTTCTTCATGATTCGAGAAGCCGTAGCTTAGCTTCTACCCAACAGGCGAATTAACAGTTCATGAATATTGAAGGGTGTGATGAGGCTCCTACAAGGCCAATTCTGCCTCTCAAGCTGGGCGTGGCTTACACTACTCCAGCCCCTCCATATTACCGGTACTTCCCAGCCTACAACCTGTTTATGAGATTCCAGTCATCGCTCCGTAAATCCTCGGGGCATGGAGAAATGGATCCCTGCAATTTGCAAAGCCATGGCAACGGTAAGTGCCGCATGTGAGCATGTACAGGATCAAGGCAATTTGCTTATTCGGGCAATACGAAACGGGGAGGGCTCAAAGCCCGCTCAAACCAACGTCGAGTTGTCGACTAGTGCTTTCTGCCTCGGGCGGCCGCCACAGACATGCATACGCACGCTGACATCGGCAAGGGGCAGCGGGCGTAGGCTCATACTAAGGTATTAATGCTGCAGACGAAGATAGAGGCGGGACTCTCCAGGGTGCATGTATGCACCGTAAGTACATGTATGCTAACTCCATGGTTGCAGAAAGCCTTCTGGTTTGAGCCCCCTGATTCAGGCCCTGGCTACAGGGCAGCAAATATGCCAGGCTGCGTGAGATGCACAGCTACAGTGACAGTGCCGATGCTGTGTCTCTATTTGGCGCTCTCGCGGTGCCGAACTTTGTTGATTGATCCTAACTCGAGGCAAATCAGATAGGCATATCCAGTGGCCCTGGCGTAATCACTATCGTCAGAATTACGGTACGCCTCGCACGAAGCTCAAGCCTTCGGTCCCTCATAACTCGAAACCGCCACTCAACTGGGCAAAGATCCAAAATCTGCCCTGGTCGAGCGGTCAGCAAAGGCTTGATGGGACTTTGGGGGCACTTGTCAGTCCGGCTCTCTGAGCCTCTGTCGGGTACAATCAGCCTATCTCAACCATCGGGCCTGCAAGCGGCACTTGCTGCTGATCTATGGACTAGTCAGGCCAACCACCTTGAACAGTGCCAGCCTTACGGCTATGTGGTGGTCTAGACATGGGGACATAGAGTCTTGGTTTGCTGGAAGCCTCGCGTGGCTTTTGTTGCCTTTTTAGCTCTGTCCCCGAAAAATCCTAGACCGTGGTTGGGTAAGAGCTTGGATACTGCCTCGAGAAATCCTAGTTCCTGAGCCAAACTAACACCCTCAACGCCTGCCAAGTTTTACAAGACTTTGGCAAGTCGATCACCGTTGGCTTCTCCAGCATAGAGGTGGGCTCTCCTGTGACGCCAAACTTTACATACGAAACCTTCACAACACACCTAGGCGATGCAGCAGACCTACAGGAGGAAGAGTCTTGCCCGCTGCAGGGGGGGGGGGGGGTGAACTAGAGTTGGTGTGAGGCTCACACTCTTTCCCTTCTAAGCTCTATGCCATCCCGTCCACTTCCCGTACCCAGCTGAGATAGAAGTTGCGCAACAGATCATAGCTCTTACATGGGATTGACGAAAGATTGCATCCGGACGAGGGAGGGGGTGAGCCAATCGCGATCCTTCACGCCACAGGCGTGTCTACAGTCGCGAAGCTCGCGCCTCGGTGTCGAGGTAGAGTGCATAGCGCATGGCTCGGAGGGGTGTAAGTGCCATGCAGCATCATAATGGGGGATTGTGAGGAATACAGGGGGCGGAAGAGAAACGAGGGGGCGAGAGGCAAAGGAGGTAGGAGTGAACTCTAGCGGTCACTCTAATGCGGGAGTGTGTGCTGATCATTTTGCCTGCCGGAATTTCGGATTTATAGGCTGACCCATCTTTAGCTGTGAGACAGATCTTTGATGCTGAATGGTTTTGCTGAAGGTACATAGTGTTTGTATATCGTTTGCCAGTGGGCTGGGAGATGTGATATCTTCACCGAGCTCGTTGTTATCGTTGGTTTTGTGGTTCTTAGTCTCCGCGGAAGATGAATAGTCAGCAGGTCATGATCATCAGACGTTCCACTTCCGTTAAATGTCACATGACTGATGGTTAGTTGAGGTCTTTACCGCCATAGACTTCACATTGTGGTTGACTTTGTAAACTTGAGATCAACAGCCCCTGTGGCGGTTCTTCATGAAAATCACGAAACATGTCGATAGTATATCTTGATATCACATTATTCGAGAAGCGAGCTTTCAAGCAATTACGCCACTTCTGTGTGATGCCGTTCGAAACTGCTGGGATCCAGACGCCCGCTTTAGCGAGCATCTCTGCTTACGAGTCACTGTGACTCATTGGACGCCTCGGACTTGGCGCTCGGAAGCCATTCAAGTACCTCACAATTCAAGCCAGGGTAATCTCGACACTACATGTAGGCATAGGGAAAAGCTCAAGCTGCGTTTGACACCGGGGATCAGAAACCGGCATTGGTGTAGGCTAGGGCTCTCACGGCGGGTGACAGGGTTACGATGCGATTTCGTTGATTCTAGATTCCACATCTTGTCAGCTTGTCAGCACGATGGCGCCGGGTCTAGGAGAGGAGATAGGCTTGCACACCTACTTCCCCTTCTTTCGATCTGTCGTCACCTATTCTGCAAGCCAAGACGGCAGTGGGATCGTGATGGCTTTTCCCTCGCCGTGACTCTGCTGACATGAGAATTCGGCCGTTTCATGATAAGAATGGAGTCATTACGCGGCATGATATATAGAAGTGCTTGTGAGCGGGCTTGAAACACTGGCGATGGTGTCGCTTTTTGGGGTGCATAGCCTACCATGTACCTCACAGGAGGAGAACCAAGATTGCGTAGTCGATGGAGGGGATATCTTACGTGAGAACTCTATCCATCGCCCGGCTTGTCAGTCAGCCACAAACTTGCCCAGTCTCGCAAGGCACTTGAGCAAGCATCTAGCTCTGCGGGATGTCGATCACAAGACCCAAGCTACCTGTATGTGGGCTTTTTTGTAGAGGCACAGGCATCATGGATGCTGACAGCTTATTTGTGACAGCTCAGGACTCGCTCAATTGATGTGATCGTGACACAATGGTGATGAGGCGTCAAGCTGGGGTTATGACAGCGCAATCCAATCAAGTTCAACTTGTCACACCTCGGCTCTTTGCCTAACGATCGATATCTCTGTTTGGTCATTATTCCAGGAGTTTGATATCAGTCTTCTTGAAGCCGCGCGCTTCGTTAAAGTGAGATGTGTAGATGATGTGATCACGTTGCCTTGGCCACGTATGGAGAGAGAAATAGCCGTAGCAAGACCAGCTCGGGATTTCCGGGTGATGAATTTGAGGCGTGGCAAGCAAAAGCTTTTCCTCTCATGCAGTGGCGAGTTGTAGACGGAATGCAAACCCCTTCACAACGTGCGCCTTTGAATCCCTTATTCAGTCTATCACTTGAGTTGAGAGATAATTTCAAGCTGGAATATGACTTTATCTCTATAGTTTGAGGACATGACATTAAGAAAGAATGTCACAGGTCCATGGCATAGGAGCTGTCATACAACCATGTATAGGAGTGCATATTTCATCAATGGAACTTAATGATGTAACTGTACCCCTGAGATGAAATCAGAACCGTTCATCTTCCTAGACTGCTGCAGCCTGCGAGCTGAAAACTAATGTTAGACAACCCGACTGACTCTCTGTTCTCCGATGGCGAGGCTTTTTACCAATCATCACATGTTGAGTTCCATGGTATTTCAAGCAGAGCTTAGTCGATAGCGACAGTCGGTAGGTCAGTGGCCGCATCCGCAATCATCATCGGGTGACAAGCATACCGCAAGACCATATCAAAATGGGCAGGTAGGTTATTGAGAGATTTCAAGAACAGATTTCTCATCAAAATATTGAATAATCCTTGGTGTCTAGAGACCAAAGAGATGGGAACCCAGCTAAACGTACTTATTGAGATTGAGCTTTGGGCACTGCCATTGTGAATACAAGATATGACATGTGCATAACAACTATATGAAAAAATTCCATCCACCCTTTTAGTCAACTCTCAAGGTAGCCTGAGACTTGAGGTTCCTACTGCTAGAGCCAACGTAAATCGCGTACTCTCCGCTTTCAACCTTCCACTCTTGTCCGACAACATCCCAAACACTCAGATCTCTCCGTCTCAGAGGGAAAGCTACGTCGGCTTTCTCTCCAGGACGGATCACAGCCTTCTGAAACCCACGCAACTGTCTGACTGGCTCCCCAGCTGCTTCGGGGAAGGAGATGTACATCTGGGCTACTTCGGCGCCTTGCAGAGAACCAGTGTTGGTAATGCTGGTCGAGACAGTTGCCACAATATCCCAGAGATCCTCGCGGCCACCGACTGCCTTGTCTCCAGTCGCGAATCCGCTGGTAAGCTTGGAGGAGGCTTCAACCATGACATCTGAAGAGTATTCGAAAGTGGTATAAGACAAGCCGTATCCGTAGTCGTACCGAGGCGTGATGTTGTACTGGTCAAAGTACTTGTAGTCGATGTAATTGCCATCCGAATAATCCAAGTTCAACTCCGTCTCACTAATCATCGTATCCGGGTTATAGTCGCTCTCATGCTTAGCAATAGTGTGGACGAGTCTACCAGAAGGGTTGACTGCGCCGAAGAGAACGTCATCAATTGCGTTGCCGGATTCTTGGCCCAGTGCTCCAGCATACAACACACCGGTGACGTTCTCGTGCTCAACCCAGGCATCAACCAAGCGAGGACCAACAGTGTTTATCACCACAATGGTGTTGTTACAGACGTCGGCGACGGTAGTCACGAGCGTGTCTTGGCCGGCATTGGTCAACTCCGTGCGGTCGGCACCCTCGCCGCCCCAGGCATTGAGGAAGACAATGCACGCATCCGAGTCCTCAGCCACTCCAGTGGTGGACTCGGTGAGTTCGGTGCCGGAGCCCTGCATGCCGCTGAAGGACGTCTCGGAGGTATCGTTAAGCCACCAACGAAGCATGAAGCCATCCTTGGCGGCACGTTCATTGAAGAGCTGAAGCGGCGTGGACAAATATGCCAGCGAGCCCATGGCGGATCCTCCGACTACAGCCATGTGGCCTTGCATTGTCGAAGGCTCGCCGTCGTAGACGCCAAGAGCGGTATTTGCACCCACGTACCGGGGGCCAGCATGGAAGCCGAATATGCTGATACTCGACTTGTTGACCAGCGGGAGCGCGCCGTTGGTGTTCTTGAGCAAGGCAATAGACCCAGCAGCATATTGTCTCGCCATGGCGCTGTGGTTACCGCGGTCGTCGATGTGGTCCGTTACGCCTGCCAGGCTGGGATAACCGTTATCCTGCCCCAAGTGAAAGTAGCCCATCATGTTACGAATCACCATGTCGTCGAGTCTCTCCGAGGTAAAGCTGCCGTTGGTGAGGCCCACGCCCAGTGTCTCATTGGACCAGTAACTGCTCGAGGCGAGATCCATGCCAGCGTTTGCGGCGTTGATGCCCGTCTTCTGCGCGCTGACATCGGCAGACACAATGCCAGGGAACCCGAGCTCGACTTTGAGATACTTGGCGAGGAGATCCTGGCTCTCGCATGAGTATGTTCCGTTAACCTTGTTCATGGCACACATGGCACCACCCATGCCATTGTAGACGGTATCGTAGAAGGGCCACAGGTAGGTCTCGTGAAACGCCTTGTCGCCGATGGTAATAGTGTTAGAACCAGAGTCGTCGTCAGATGTCGTGCCATTCGTTGTGGTGTTCGTCGATGATGCCTGGCGCGCTGTCAGGGTCGAGTTGGTTGATCCACTTGGAGGAGATCCGCCTCCTCCCATGCCGCCGCCACCAGAGCCGGTACTCATGCGATTTGTCTCTTGCTCGTTGAGGATGAAGTGCTTGGCACTAGCTGTTACACCAGCAGATGACATTCCCTTCACGACTGCGCCGGCCATAATTCCAGCCTGATAGCTGTCCACGCCGTACGTCTCACCGGAACGACCGCCCCAAGCTGAGCGTCCGAGAGGTTCCAGTGTAGGTCCGTAGGCCATGTTGATACCCTTTCCCCTGAATTCCTGGCCAACGCCATGTCCCTGACCCTCTGCGGCTGCTGTGTCCCATGTCATGGCCATCGCCAAACCGGCGGGCCATGTCGTGACGTAGAAGTAGGTAAGAGGGTTGGTAGCGGAGTCAAGGTTGTGTAACGCGGTCCAGTTGCCTCCATCACCACCTGCAACAATTGAAATCTTCTCCTCGGTCGTGAGCGTAGATACAAGCGCCGACGCCTTGTCATAGGCATCTTGCCAAGCTCCTAGCTTGACTGTTGACATATTTGTAAGCGTTTGCTCATCATCAAGTAAGGAGGGCACATTCAAGAGACGTACCCGTGCCAGAACTCAGGAGCTGCTCTTTGTAGTTGGCTGAAGCATCTTCGGTCAAGGTGCCAGTCACAAAAGTGAGTATAGCTAGAACCCAGGCGGTTGATGGGCGGTACATCTTTGGAGAAGGTGCTGTCCCACCTAAGAAGTAGAGCAGGGAGGATGACTCGGGTGTGTTGAAAGGGGCAGTTTCTCGATTCTGCAAGACTAATGTGTCAGAGACAAAAGAATGACTTAGGCGATGACCACCAACAGATTAGCACCTGTACCCTCATCAAGATCGGAGTTCAGCTCTGTTTACTTAGACAATAGCTGCCAAGACCCAACTCTTATACCAACCGCCATGATACCCTTTGCTCTACTGCATCGGTTTTTCTTCGGCTCAAGCAGTCACAAGACATGGGGACGTAGCCAAAAAGTGGTGCAAAGCTTACGACGAGCCATGTCCACAGCCCCGTTGGAGGTCGGATCCAGGCGCCGGGCTCGGTGAGCGTGACTGCCGGGGCGGCTACAAAATCCGAGGCTGCGAGGTTGTCTTTTGCCCTGGTCGGAAATCGTCCGCTTGTTCCGTTGTATGAGAAAAATGAGTAGGTTACGGGCGTCGGGCAAAACAGGTATTAGTAACCCCAATAAAGAATGGCATGGACGGCACCAGTCCATCACCAGATGCTTTGAGCATTCTGGCCTCCTGGAGACGCGTCCTCAAACGTCCAGCGTCCGCTTATCATCCAACTAGATAGAAACGCTGAAGACTCTATCACAGGAAAACCACGCACTGCGGCTTGCGAAAGGGTTGAACTCCACACCGAGAAAAGGGGCAGCGATTCACGTTTGTGACGTGGGTTCGGCCCAATGCCGACACCGATGTGCAGATCCGATGAACAACCCAGGCGATTGAAACAATACGGAGCCAGAAAGCCAATTCCATTGGAGGCTTCTCCTGTCAGAACGGAATTTGTGGGCTCGAGTCTGAACTTCCTAGGTTTGCTGGATTGTGGGCGAACGCCGGACCGGCACTTGGGGGTGGGGGTTCCACGTGTCGGTGCCTACCGATGACCCAATGTGACCCAAAGTTGGTCAAACTAGAGATGGTATTTCGTGGTCTCATCTCTTCACATGTATAGAAAGCTTGTTTCTTCCCATCAGCTCTCAAAGTAGGGATCGAAGCTAAATGCTGTCTGCCCACTCTAATACAGTTGTTGCTACCAAGCTTGTAGGTTATGCTAGGATCGTCACTGATTCTTCCGAGCCGAAGGACCTAGGAAAACAAGCCATAAGTCTCGGACTTTGCTATGACCCACTCATATAGTGACACATAAGGCGATCACTTGACAACCTTGAAGTGCTTTTGATCCAAGAGAATAACGACATCGGAAGTGGCCTGGATTCCATTTGAACGCCCGACTAAACTCTTCCATGCAGACGACGACCATGGGGCCAAACGGTGGTAAATGTACGGAGTAAGTAGTTATCTCCACTCAGTCTGCCTTCCACAGCTGGCCCTTGAGTTCTGTAATTCTTACGAACAACAAATATCTGGTCATGTTGAAAGGTTGCTAGAATTCAGGGAATGACCGGAATCACTTAATATCAAATCGATGAGCTTTGCCTGAAATAGGAGCTAAAGTTAACTACAAAGACTTCATTCATAGATGACCAAAACCGACTACCCATGCTTACAAGTACGTCAGACAGTTTATTACTGAACGCAAAACCCCAGACACTGTACTTATATATCTTCGTACGCCGTCAAATGCTTCCGGTCCATTCAGTTCTCCCGGAATGTCTAGCTTCTTCAAATGCAGTATTTAGTTCTTCTCGTTGCTCATCAGTCAGCCTTGACCTGTGAAGGCCCAAGTCTCGATCTCGTAGCGTCCCTCCGCTCCGAGCAAGTAACACGGACAGCTTCATTCTGTCAGCGCCCAGCAACGTCGTGACGAGGCAAATGTCTAGCGGCGATAACCCATCAACGTTCCGCAAGTTGGGATCCGCACCGTACTTCAGAAGGAGTGATAGCGTCTTTGTGTCCTTTGCGCCACCCTCAACCCTGAACCTTGAGTCGACATGATGGTGTAACGGCGTATTTCCGGCAGCATCCGTGATATTGGGGTCGACTTTCCTTTGGCAAAGGAGAAATTGCACTAGCTCTGCGTTATCGTATGCAGCTGCTTGATGGAGAGCATGAAGCTCCGCAGCTTCGTGTGTCGTCAATGAAGAGCCTGCGTCAACAAGAAGCCTCGCCATATCCACGGTCTTTTCGTGCGCTCGCATTCGACCGGTTCCTAGTAGGAAGTATAGGGCGTTAGCTCCGTGAGAGCTCACGGGGTTGTAGCCCATCGTCGTCTGCAGCGCCAGGCAGGGAAAGCTGGCGTTATATTCGTCGCAATAGTCCTCCACATACGGCAGCGAGCCATAGTTCCCTGCATCCAGTCCCGGCTGCACTACTGCCCTCTTGTTGGGGCCCACGCCGGCTTTGTGGTTCAACAAAATTTCAAGGACATCTTCCCTTCCGCACAATGCCGCCCAGTGCAGTGCACTCATGTCGAGTCTCCGTGGCTCCCTCCACCAAACCTGGTACTCACAATGCTCACAATACCGAAAGCATTCGTTCGTCCATTGCAGCGGCATTGTGTGATCGTCCGCATCTGCATTTGCGCCGTTTTCCAACGCAAGCTTCAGGGCCCGGACGTTGCCCCTTTTCGCTGAGATTAGCAGAGCTGAAGAATGGTTCTGTTCCGCATCCCTCCGATAGAGCACAGGCGTGATAAGTTCGTAGAGTGCGCGGCACGAAGCTGCCAAGTTTGCAACGTCTCGCCAAACGTCAAAGCGAGGAAGCATGCAAAAGGGGCACATCTTTTCGGTCTCATATGGTAGACAAGATGACTCCCAATACTTTTCATAACCGAGAGAAACCTCTTTGGCGTACAAATCGAATAGTGCATCCACAATGCAGAGGATAATTTCAGAGGGCAGACGTCGTGTAATGCCAGGGGCATTCGGCTTAGCCAGCGCATGGTGATATCGGCGCTTTTCTTGTGCATCGCCGTACAGCGGCACATGGCTCCATACACATGGACATCCGAAGAGTGCCGGTACCTTTTCGTTGGCCGTGGCGGGAAAATCTAGTCTAAAGATCAGCTACGTTCCGACGATGCCGGTGGGCATGGTGAGGATTGCGCAGTTGGAGCTGACTTACGTGAGTGGGCCATTCTGAACTCAGGCACTACAAGCCAAGCATGGAATAAGTGTAAAGACGAGCGTTCTATAGCAATAATTTCTATTATATCGCAACTTGATGACGAACGTCGTGATAACGAGTGTGGTGATGAAGAAAATCAACGCTTACAGGAGTGAGAATAGAGAATTCCACCATCTCCTGAGCGGAAATGCCATCACCATCACCGAGAGTCATTGACGGAAATTTTTTCGTCTCAGTTGCCGACCCCTATTGCCAAATCTCCAGGGTACGCCTGCATGTCATTGCAGAAGCGTTGGGCAATTCTAGAAACCGTGTCATTTGGCTGTCAGAGTTCAAGGGACATTCCTTGTTCAGTGCGTGGTGCAATGCTGCTTACTCATAAACTTTCGAATCATTGCATGAACGGTCCGGAGCGAACTCGGAGGCAACGGTTAGTAACTGCAATTTCAAACACGACGATTGATTATATGTCGTCACTGAAGGGTCTCTTGGCCAAATTTCGGAAGAAATGATGAGCCACTCACCTTAGAATGAACAGCACGTAACGTTGGTTGCGTAACAGTTTATTGCTCAGAATCTATCGATTGCTTCGATGACAATATCACATCCACCACAGTTCTCAGCGATAGTTAAGGCCTCCAAGAACACATTTGATTTTAGAATTTAGATCGAATACTTCAAAAACCGCGCCAATTCGGGTGTCCAACTGCGCTTAGGGTCATCGAGGGCTAAGCCAAGTCCGTGTCCTCCCTCCGGGATGATGAGCACTTGCGTTGGCCGCTTGTAGACTGCCATGGCCTCCGCAAACATGAGCGTGTTCTGCACAGGAACAGTGGTGTCACTAAAAGTATGGAACAGGAAGGTTGGCGGGGTGGTCCCAGAGACACGATTCTGCGCTGACAGCTCGTGCTGCAACTCCGCGCTCGCATTGGCGCCAATGAGGTTGTCTCGCGAGCCTTTGTGCGTGTAGTTTCCCTCAAGGGTAATGACGGGGTACGCGAGGATGCCAAAATCAAGACCAGCCTCCGGGTTGGTGAGTGTTACGGCAGAGAGATGACCGCCTGCCGAGAAGCCCCAAATCCCGAGTTTGGTGGTGCGGTTCTGCGCTCTGATGTACTCGAGGGCGTCTAGTGCCTCATTTTGTGGTGTTGGATAGAGCGGTGCCGTTGCGTTTGAAATAGTAGTGTAGTCAAGAACCCAAGCATCAATGCCGAGCTTGTTCAGGAACCCCGCAGGAATGTAGCCCTCCTTTGATATGGACACGCGGGCATATCCGCCTCCGGGACAAACGAGAACTCCGGTACCAGTCGAATTCTCTGCCGGGAAGTATGTGATTTGCGATGTTTTGAGTCTACAGAATTTGTTAGAACGAAGTATTTATCAACGTGTGTTCCGATGTTCTTACCTCTTCACAACTCTTTGGGCATCGAGAAATCCATCGCTGTTGACCTCCGTCGACATTACGACTGCACCACTGAGGAGAAACCCCCAGGCCAATGCTAAAACAGACTTCATATTTCTTAGCTGCGCCAAGGACAGTATATAATCAGGAATTGTGCGTCTTAGCTCACGTCTTACTACAATAATCGTTCAGCCCAGGAACGGCCACTAGATATATATCAACAACTACCCCGGGTACCCCGCGCAATGCGGTGTCGACGTTCATATCTACCGACCTATGAGCAGCTACTCCGGTTGTCCGGCCCCCATGTTTTGATTTGAATGCTGCACCTCGTCATATCAAAAACCGAAAGACTGTTACCTCACATGAACCTTGGTGAAATCCACCAATGGGAGCCTAGCACTAGTCTACTAGAGCACATCGTCACCGGCGCGCTAGAGGGTGCTTCTTAGAGTGGAATCTCTCGCGGTTATCCCATGTTAGAGTTGTGGGTCAAAAGCTGGGGTTCGCGCAAAGTGATAACGATTCGATAACTTCTTTACCAACACTTTTCGGCGCGCCTACCAAGCCCCAGGATGAGGTATTCATGAGGAGATGTCAAATGCTATCCACGCTAATGTCGAAATCACTAACAGGCGGCGACCTGTGAATTTTGCTCAATCGTTTAGAAGGAGCTTTAGAGACCCTTTCGATTGTGATACCGATATTTGGGCATTATGTGACTAGAATGAGAGCCGTTATGCCCGCACTTCAATGACACATAAGATTCGGTGCGACTAGGTCTATGAGCCAGCTATGGTCTATGATCAAAACCTCCGTCTAAAAGCTCACGTAATTGACCAGGCGGCTGTGGACCACAGCATATTTCGGAAATCTTGCTATGCTTGGTTATGTTGCTTTGAATACATCTTTGAGAAAGAGCAATGCTAATATGTCAAATCCCTTATGATAAATAACATGTGAAGAGAAAGTGGCGCGCAGGCACACATAATTACATGTACTGATCAGTGCAAAGATCAAATGCCTCACTGGGACAGCAGGCCCAAGCCAGTGTGCAAGTCCCTAATCATACGTCTGTGAGGGGCCTCAGCCGCGCCACCTGTGGTAAGCACAGTTGCGTTTCTAATCATCTCGACCACCTTCAGGATGTCCTCTTGTGTAACAGCGTTCTCCTTCTTGACCCAGCCCAACTCAGCAGGAAGGCGCTCGTTCTCTGCAAACCACATATTAGTCTACAGTTGTCTCAAGGAGCTATGTTTGATGTGTCTCTTACGGAAGAAGTATTCGACCAGTGTCTTGTTGACGGTTCCGGCGGTCATATCGCCAAATACAATGATGGGGGCAGCGACCTCGCCAAGACTGAAGTTCTCCACGGTTGCAGTGAAGGTGTAGTTGGGGTTGAAAGCTCTTGAGGTGACCTGTCGCGCCAACTTGCTGTTGGCAAGCTGTTGCGCATCCAGGGTATCCTTCGTCCAGTAGGCTCTCGACTCGTCGAAGATGGATTGGTTGAAGACATGATTGTTGCCAAAGGCAGCATCGGTGCGACTGTGGGCAAGGTGTTAGTGTAGTCCAAGTCTGGATATACTCGGCGCTCCTTAGCTCGAACAGGAAGAACCAAAGCCTGGATGAGTCGAGGCATTATTCTGCTTCAGACGGGCAGAGCTTAAACTTACCTCAAGCTAGCATCGTGCTCCAGGACATTGTGAACGTTAAGTTGGTCCCTGATACATGTTGAATTAGTGGTGCGTTGCGCCAAGACTTCAAAGGGGCTTCTTACAGAGTGAAGAATGTGGCATTGGGTTCTGGGTTGGCAATAAGGGCCATGTTAAACATCAGGGTTCCAAGATCGGTCCCGAAGTTGAGGCCGTCCTGAAGACCTTTCACAACAACGTCCTTCGTCAGGTTCTTGCCGTCGTGGGATATGAAGCCGTGGTTGGCCAAAGTGTTCATCATTGGGCATGGGCCACGGACTACATAATTAGCACTTGAAGCTTAGGTTTGGTTCATCAGGATAGTGTACTCACAGTCATCAGGTCCAGCAGGAGTCCACTCAGTGGGGGAAGCTCTGCGGAAGTGAGGGTTGGCCAAGTGAGCAGCAGCCAGGTGAGGATTGGCTGAGGCCACGCCAAAAGCAGCGGTGATGAAGGTGAAAGACTGCTTCATTTTGAGTTGGTGAAGATTGGTGTCAGTTTGAGGAGCTAAGAAACGAATGAAAGATGAGATGATTGCTGTCTGTTGCCAATTTTCTTCCGACGAACCCTTCTCACGGTCTCATATTTATATTCAATAACGCCGAGAGCTCATTACACATACATCTCTCGCCCCCTATATTCATTTCCGTTTTATCCAGAGGTGACCATACATCATGACGGCCAGCCCTCTCCTCACACCGGGGCTATGTCGTTTCCCCGTCCATTCGCCCCTGATTCAGAATCATGCCAACATATCGATGTCCGCAGATCGTCCCGTCCGAACATTTCGGTATCGCTCCAAACTCCCCATCTACAACTCCACGGGATATTCTGAGAGCCAATCAGAGATTGTATGATGACCATTTTGCATGGTTGTCTTTGCGGAGGTGGTGGGTGGCTACAGGCATAGGTGCATCTATTCCCAGTGAAACGCGGTGCCGCTCAGGCGTTGCCGAGCCAGCCTATACGCGGAGACAGCTTTACGATACGTCATGGCGACCTACCACAGCGCACAACACCAAACATAAAGACGCTCAAATACGCGGAGTTTGGAAACGAACTACGAAATCTCAACAGAAATACAACGACACCGCCCATTTAGAGAGCTCAGTCGAGCGGTCAACCACGTTGCACGTCAAGGCCCGTCTGAAACAATCTGTTCCCGTCTACGGCATTACAGCCAAGCCAATGGCCGTAAGAAGCTTACACTAGAGATCACGGCTATGTAGGCCAAGCATCAATACGCCGTACGTATAGGGACAGCCAATCATAGCCCCCAAGGTTCAAACCCACTTCCACGTATTCACGTGGATCGACAAGACCCCCGTCCACCTTTAATGTTATTCTCCGGAAGTATCGACATACCGCCAAAGTCCGGTAACTCCCCTTCACTAAGAGGTTTCCACTGGACTTCATATGTCATTCAAAACAACGAAGAGGCTAAGCTTCTTAGCTAAAGCATCACATCGCCCCAAGCTTCCAGTACTTCAATCAATCTGCAGCCCTAAAGCATCGCGCGATCCTCATGAACCTGGATCCGGCAAGCATTCCGTCCTCAACCTCTGACGTCCTCGACAAGACCTCAACCCCGTGTTTGAACCATTCAACGCCCTCCGCCTCCCACAAGTGGCACCAAGGAGGCTAAGCCTAGTCCCTTCCATGAGCACTGATTCGCCGGCGTGTATCTCACGGGTACCGCATTCGAGGCCCGCCGACTTCATGCGGTTCGAAGCAAGGCTGAGTTAGGAGGGGCGGCGGACAGTTCTGAATCTTTCCAAAACTTCGGGCTCGGTTTCGGCGTCGGTTTCGGCGACTATCTCGGCCAACGGCCCCCGAGTGCGCCATGATGCGGAGTTCTGCCGTCTCCTCGCGACGACAATAACAACGGACTACTCCGCCCCCCTTCCGTCCCGGTAGAGTAGACACGGGGGAGGTTCGCCTTTGATGACCACGACACCACCGCCGCCCATGTATCTATCTTGTCGGATACCCGGGACGAGATCATCACTCTTCGACTTTGGTCAGCGGACTTTAGAGACGGAGCTCATACTAAGACCGTGGCCAGTCAGAGGACGTCAAGTATTCGAATAGTCTGCTGCAGCATCCATAGCCAGCTCCGCCATTGTTGACAGTATGTCAGATCAGGCTAGTAGAAGGCATCTACAGCTCGATAACCCAGCGTCTGGCCGGCAAAGTGTGCTTCCGACAACAACGCCCCCGAGACCGGTCCTTGCGAAGACGAGTCGACCACGAGGCTCGACGTAGCGTGAGGACTTCCGCAAGCCATCCAACGCTATACGACATACCGAAGAAGCATTCTAGGGCACTTCGTCAGCAACATGGAGATCACCAGGGATCAGCGCGGAGGAGGATGAAGATGCGGAAACATCTTTCGGGCACCAGAATCTGACATGATGCCAGCCCAGATGCGCGTCTCCGGATTGGACAACATACGGCTCATCTCAACATTTGACAGCTGAGCCAACAAACCTTCACACCCACAAAAGAGACACGCCTGATAGCATCCCGCCGCATCGAACTCACCCTACCCTCCCATCCCACCTACCGACAGCCCATCGAACACTAGTCTCCGACGCATGTAGCCAGCCCTGTGCCGCAGGAAAGCACGATCAACCACGTGAAGTCGAGATCCCCGATGTTCATCACCAACTACACAGCCCACCGGACCGCGTCACGCAACATTCGGGAAGAGGGGGGCTGACTGAGCACCACCCTCGACAGAGATGGCGGATCAAGGAAATGTGACGCCGTCCCTCTGACTTTCAGGAACCGTCATCATCGTCAGCATTCTGCGACGCTTACATCAGGTCTTGGGGATGCAACCCTAAGCAACTTGACTAAAATCATGGTCAGATCGATTCGAAAGAGCTTCTCCCACACGTCTACTCGCTATCGCCAAGTCTCATTTACGATACCTCATTTCGTCTCTGGTCCACCGTTCACTGGCCAGCCTTGCTGTCCACACGGGGCTCTTCACAGTCAGCAACCCCCGGAACACCTCGGAATTCCGCATCTTCCTCGCATCCCGTCTCTTGCGTGGTCCGACCATAGAGTAAGCCCAATCACATCGCCAATGGTCTCAGCCTAAGCCAAGCCAAATGAGAGACAGCGTAGAATAAGCTCCCTCTCACGCGCTAGTTCAGACTGTCAGGCTGCCAGACAATTCCAAAGTCCCAATATCAAATGAACCGAAAAAAAAAAGTGCCGGAGTTCCACCAACGCATCCCAACCTTCTAGACCAAATGCCTCTCACCCTTCACCCCGCAAAAACAAGAGCCTAGAATCAACACTAAACGCTCATATGATGGGTCTAGAGCGACTATAATCGGATCCGGACCCTACGGCCTTGGTCTCTCCCACATCACCCGTTAGGGCTGGAATGCCCGGCGCCACCAATCTCCAACACCAAGTCTCTATCCCTCTCCTGTTCCAAACCCACATCAAAAGTTTTGCATGATGACGACGTCCGCTACGGCTATAACATCCATAACCAAACAACAAACCCGTCCGCAACTGACAATAAACGTGCCTCCCTCCGCCCAACCACCGGACCCCCCCCCCCCCCCTTCCCCGTTCAGAACGGGGTGAGTGAAGATGTGGACCCGGTGTAGTCCCATAGCACAAGAACACACGCCCACCATGTGAACGCATCAAAATGACCCAAAGACCACCGCCCTTCCGCACACCCTCCCCCCTTCACAGCCCAGTTGCGATGTCCCAGGTGCTAGTACGGGCCCCGTCGCCCCATCGGAGATTATTTACGTAGAGTAGACTGGGCAGCAGGGCAGAATCAGGGCCAGGGCACCAGGCGAGCAGGAAGGAATACAGGACGCTCAAGGGTTGAAGGGGGTGCGGTGGCATGGACCGCATGGTAGGGCAAGGCGGCGAGGACGGTAAGGATTCTTTGGCTCAAGGGGGGAGGGGGTTCGCTTTTTGCGCTCATCTTCATGACGAAGAGCCTTAGGGCGCAGGGTGAAGATGGGATATGGGGAACAAAGTTCAAGCCGTCCGTCCCATCGCCTACGCGCTCGAAACTTAAGCCGCGGTTGTAATGCGCTGGGGTGGTTCCGGGGGAGTGAATAGTGCCAAGAGGAAAGGGGGGCGCATCCTCTTCTTTCGCCGCAGTGTCGGGCCAAAACATTATTGACCCCAGCACCAGGGCGAAGGAGAAATTGCCAAGACATTTTCATTTTCACCTCCAACGTCAACCATGGGAACGAACCCCTAACTTACGGAGTATGGAGGACCCAGTAGGCGATTGCGTACGCACGCTGCTTTGATATCGACGAGATAGTTTACACAGCAATCGGGGCTAGTGTTAGTCACGCGTGGGAAGGTAGTAGCGGCAGTAGGAAAGTTTAGCTTGGTGAGATTGATGTGCGGCGATTTGTCTAGGATGAACCAGGCCGAGAAGGGGGCCATTCCGATGAATAAATCGCGAAAATCGCAAATTGTCACCCTTTGAACGGCACTAGCAAACGGCACTACTGCTTCACACTACACTACATCCGAGACGAACCTCCGTTCCTGGTCCCGTCGTTAGAAGATCCCCATTTTCCCAGCATCTGGCTAGTTTTCTTGATTCCTCATGGCATCAAGTTAGCGGGAAAAGTACCCCTTCCCCGTTCCCTTGGATGCCTCCCTGCAAGATGCAGGATTGCAGTGGCAGATTTGACAGGTTTACACGTACCATTGAGATAATGAGTGATACGCAGCCTAGTTATTACGGACCCGCGATATCTGACTCGAATGGTGAGCGTCATCGATCCCTATCGGTAAATGCTTACTTTCTATGAAGAAATACCGAACCACCCCACCCGCGCGTACCGAGATAGAGTGGAACGTGATGTGAGTGACAAGTATCCGTAACATACGGATGCAAAGCAGTTTACAGATACATGACAAAGTCGACTGTTACGCAAGACGAACACGAGGTTGTACGAATCAATCGCTCTCTCTCTCATGCCCATAGACGAACCACGGTTGCACGACCTCGTGGCAGGAGATGGGAAGGTTCCCGCAGTGGAACCTTCATTCCTCTTTTCCCTTTCGGAACTCCCGTCCGTGCCATGAATGATCAACAGAGACAGGCTACAAAGTCACACAGAGAGAGATGGAGAAGCCGGACAGAATATGACAGAGAGTTGTGAGAGTCAATTCTCTGTAAAAGTTGGGACGATTACACCCCCTCCGAAGCCATCTTACGAACCGTTGACAAAGCATTGTCGTTTGGAGGCTCCTGGTCAATGGAGCAGAGCAAAAGTAACAAAAGTAAGTAGTGTCCCCGAATAGCAATAAACACCCCCCAAATGGCAGCGGAGCAACCGCAAGTATCCAGCAAGGCTGCAACTCCACGGCACTGCCTTTTCGCAACCCGACCCAGAAAAGATGCACTCGCCTTACTCATTAACCCAAATCTACCCGCCCCCCTTCCACTCTGACAGGCACACGAACAGCGCTTCATAACGACCCACTCGACCCTCCCCCCTACCCCAGGCGGGTTGGATGCTCCTTGACCACCAGCTATGCCTTCTCCCTGCTCTGAGAGTATCCGTACGGATTACCTGAGTCTTTTCTCTACCACCTTCCCTGAATGTTCGGTTAATGCCGAACAGAAATATTGGAACATCGCCAGATACGGCTCCTCTTCTGCCAATCTGCCCCTGGGGAATATGACCCAAATGCAGACAGAGTAGGCGCAGCAAGGGAAACCCCCCGTTGGTATATCTCCTTCTTTGGGCAGAGATTCACATTCAAGTCCCGAGCCGATCGTAATGACGACACATACTCTTGATCCACAACCTCACATGGGAAATGGGGACGAGAAGAAGAAAAGATTGCAAAGGGGGAAGAGAGGGGATGGAAGACAGCGTAGACTGGAGAGAGGACAGAAGTCCCATTGTCAAATCAAATCGTCTCCATTAGACGGAATTTGCTCCGGACCTGGGCAAATTTACGGATACCCAGTTGAGCAGGAACTCAAGAGAGGCCAAGCCCATGCAGGACCTGTGAATGACAGGCTTCGGCATAATGCAGCCCCAGTAGTATCCTCAAGGTCATGTCCGGACTTCTTCAATAGTATTGAAAATGGTTCAATGCATGCATGTCTTTTGACTGACGGCGGAGCTGACGAGAGCAAAAGCCAAAGGACAGATGGCCCAACAAGTAAATTCGATGAGGCCATGCCTGAACCTAGTCGTAGAGGACTTGAAAGGGATGATCAAAGAACAACGAAGAATGTCGATAATGAACTGTCCCGTTGCTAAGTCGGATGCTTTGCACCGGCGAAAACGATATGCATCGAGAACTTGCACGCCCAAGCAACGTGGACCTCCGTGTCCGGTACACGGGGCATGCAACGTAACGAGCCCCAAGCAGAAAGATTCGATGCCTCCCAAGAAGAGCGAATTCCGTATCATCTAAAGACAGAACGATCTGACAAGAAAATGCCTCTATTCAGTCTCAGATGCGAAGCCATCGTCACCGGAGTAGATCGCCAGTTCATTAAACACTACTTATCCGCTACTATAAGCCTTTTACGATAGAGCCTCACCAGTCGATAACATTCAATGACCAAAACTTATCAGTAAGGTAAAAACAAAATCGGAGATCTAGAAAGCCACCTCCCATCGCGCCATGTGGCCGTTATCAAAAATGAGCCAGGGGGAACAGTATACTAGACTCGAGACGAACAAAGATCGACCTCGATCAATCAACAAAACTCACCAAATCGTCGCAAGCCGTGGGGGCCATCGCCGGGAAAACACTTTCTGGTCCGTGTCGTCGCGGTCATCGTGGTTTTGGTCTTAGTGTAAAAGCTTCAGAAAAACGTGTGCCGTGCGAATGGTTGATGAGACGGATAGTAAGTACCACACCATGTCCGATCTGAATCTTTCCACCCAGGGTCCGGCGGGCAGGGCTGTGTGGTTTTAGTGTACTTGTACTTCATAGTGTAGAATCTAGATACCGTCTTAGCGTCCTTCTTACTTTGCGGCCTGCCTCATTGAACCTCGGCGATTCTTTGCCTGACTTGCCAAAAGTGCGGTGTGAGAGAGTTTTTTGTCGTAAGCAATGCCACTACTCGCGCTTCTTTTTTGCCATATTACACGCCGTCGCGGGCGGCATCTTCCGCAAGGAACATCCCCCTTGAGAGAATGCATGCCAGAGAATGCATGCCAGAGCCTAAAGAACAGTCAGCAGTAACAGGACCTGCAATGCACAGTACTTGTCTGGCCCTTGTGACGTAACACTCAGGACCAGGAACTTGAGCCCATCTTAGTAGTTTGTCCATTTCGCAAAGTCCTTATTACACATCTTGCACCAAAGGTCAGCGGTAAGCCAAACGGTGATTGCCCTTTTTTGAACCCCGTATATCCCCGTGGGCCGTGGCTCCCGTGGCTCCGGAGATGCAAATTCGCGGAGAACCGTACTAATCGTCAAAAAAGAGACGGACGCTGAAGAATGTGGAGACTCATGGCTCCAATGCTCCATTCATCCTGAAAAAGGGCCGAGCATGCTTGCTTCTCAAATCTTTGAAAAAAAAAAAAAAGAGGCTTGAGAATCTGACGGTATCCTCCGTGTTACCAGCAGTCTAACACTGCACAGTAAGCTTGTCGCACCGCTGATCGCTGCGTGAAGTGTATGTAGTGTAAGTATCTCTGAACCTCTGAACAAGCCCGGGCCCCAAGGTAGAGAAAGGAAGCTTGTCCGTAAAAGGCGTTTCATCCTCATCACCAGCATACGGGATCATCGCCCTACGGATACGCAGGTTGCAGGCGCACTACATGTATGCCGGGACCGCGTTGCGCAACGGGACACCCCTTCGCCTGCAACGCTGGGGCGGTTCGTACTCGTTATCGTCGTTGCCCATTATCATGGACCATCGCATGGCATGGCATGGTATGGAAGCGTGTATTCGTACGTCTGACCGGGTTCTCTTCCCCCTCCGTAGGGACTTAATCACCGTCTCTCCTGCGCCCCTCAGGCCTGCAGAAAGTGCAGAACTTCAGTCCTTCAGTCCGTCTCCCCTTGCCCATGTCCCGGACGAACCCTGCGGCCCTGCCTTGCCTTGCCTTACCCTGCCAGCCTGCCCTGCCCTGCCCTGCCCGTAACCTCGTTGAACTTGGCCCCCAAACTGCAACATCCACAGGGCGCAAACTCAAAAAGAGTGCAAGACCCCTTGGTTGATCCATCCGTATGTATCCCCGACGTGGGAACGGGGTTTTTGATGGAGCAGCAAGCCGTACCTACGGACTGCTGCGTACGCACCCGGCCGGGACAGGCACCACGGACAGACCCCAGGTCCAAGGTGAAGGCGAGGGAAAGAAAAGAAATGGCGCGGCGGCGGCAGCCCTCTCCCTCTCCCTATCCTATCCGATCCCGTCACCCGTGTCCGTACTCCAAGGATCAAGTCGAGATTTTCGCCGATTGATTACCTCTCGGCCCCCTCCCCGGTCGCCCCCAGAGCGTTCTATCCGTGTCCGTATCTTTACTCTCTACTATGTAGACCGGACTGAACCATACTTACACCCACCCCTATGCGTGTTATGGCATCGGGCAGAATCAGCCTTGGTCAGAATCTGATATACACACTTCCGCAGGGTTCAGGTCTCCGGGCGCAGGTTTCGCTGACATGCCCTGACGATGGAGTAGTGTAACAGTGTGGAAAAAAGCAGATTTGACAGCGGACGATACACTACACATGGGGAATAGTTCGTGATTTGGTCGTGTTCCGACTCCCCATGAGAGTTGAGCTTTGATGTTGCATCGGAGAATGTAATGATGGGAAGAACCCCGCGCGTAACGCTGCCTTGCTTCTCTTGTGCCGGCACTGGCCAGAGAAATGCTTACAGGATGCCAGTCGTCAAATGGTCAGCAGCAATTGTTTGGCCCTAAGCACTCCGTTTGGAATGGGCCTGTCTCCTGCTCCTGGGGGCGAGGCCCGTCAAGCCAGCTGAATCACGGATATTGCCTCGTCTTTGGCATTTCTTGTCCCCAGGCTCTGGTTGTCGACCCCTCGTGCCCACCCCCCTTGGAGTCCGAGACTAGTTCGCATATACGACCTTCTCGTGTTCTTCCAGAAGACGTCTAGCAAAACCTCGTACAACCAATACAGGTTAAGTAAGCAACAACACACAAAAACCGAGAACGGGTGGTGGACACTGGGCACTGGTCCCCGTGTCCGTCCCCCCGTTCAGCCGAACCTTGACCTGCTGCCGCTGCTGCTGCCTCTCCTCGTCATGTGGGGACCTTGGACGCTTGGGAAACCTGAAGGTTTGTGCTTTGCCAAAAAGCGTAGGCCTTCCGCCCTGCGCGGCCCTACAGGCGAAACGTGTGACATGTTCCCAACTGGAGGGTTAGCGCACTGCTCTAGCGGCAGACGGACCCTTGGCGTTGTGTCCCAGGCAGAGGAGTTACCTAGCTGTGCGGCGTGCCTGTGGCCGGTAGGGCGGAAAGTGCGGGATCATTGATCAGCGCGTCGTGGTTGTTGACGCTGCCAGAAGGTTGAAGCCTTTCCCAAACAAGAGGGCATCCCCGTCCTCGACCTCGGCATGTCAGGGACTGGCTGGGAAGAGCCGGGCAGAGAAGAAAGGGGGGCGTCAAAGGGGAGGAGGAGGGGGTGGGAAAAGGGGAGTTTTTTCTCAACTTTGCGATTTAGCGCAAGCTGTGAGAGAGAGGGACCAGGTCCATACCATGGTGTGTAAACCCAGGCCAGGAGTCGTGGTTAGTCGCCGACCGTCCCCCCTGGCTCTTGACCAGCCTGCGAGCGATCAATCGCTTCAGGTCAGTGACATCGTCGCCTTGCCGAATTGGGTTATAGATTCGGGACAGGGAAATGAGTTGCTATCGCGGCCTCTCAACCCCTCATTTTGCAGCTTCATCATCGCCGTTCTAAAGCTGTCAAGGAATGAGGTCCCAGGTACCAGATGGGAGGTTCTGCCGAGATTGAACTCAAAAATAAGCACATGAAACCCCGCCGTAGCTAAGTGCATTCAAAGCTTTCCCTCGACCGGGTAATGGTCCAGAAAGGAGAAAGAAAGCGCGTGTGTGCCTGTTAGAAAGCCAAAAACAAGACAAAGGTTTATCAAATAGCGATACATCATAAAGGGAGCCCTCGCAATGCCAGGTTGGAGGTTCTACCAAAGGCTGAATATGACTCGTCGAGAACGCTCGCAACCTCCTGGACATTGCTTCTTGCACTGCCACACTCGTGCCGGTGATCCAATGTCGAATTCAGAGTAGAGGTATCCACAAACAGGGCCGGCCGGTTGGGGACAGAGAGGGGGCTACCGGGGGGACAGGGCCATGATGCCAATCTCCCTAAAACGGGGGCGTCGCGGGATTTTATGTAGTACCCAGCAGGAAGGGAACAGTTTAACAGCTAATACCTGTGCAATCCGTGGGAGAGGTCGTCGTCCAAGGATGGGGGCTGCAAGGATAGACGAAGGAGATGATGGTTAGGGC